CGTGCAATGCATGGATAAAGTCCTATACCCCCACCCACACTAAGTAGTGCTTCTTGAATAGCCATAGTTCATCCTAATTAACTTGATCTTGTGGGAGTTAGGTGTAACCGGCATAGACCATGAGAGATTATTCATGGAATAAAGTGTCTCCCCCACACCGAAAAGGGGTTGGTCTACTTGCCAAGGGTAGAACTATACTCTTAGCTTGGGTGAAACCAATTTATAAGTAACCTATGTGGGCACATAGTTATGGGATAAGGAGATTGCTACTAAAACCCTAGACTCAACTAATGTATAAGGTTTCCATCTCATGAGATAACTACTTTAGGAACCCGGACTCAACTAGTGTAAAAGGAACCCATTTAGAAAGCCGGACTCAACTAGTGTAAAAACTTTCAAGGGGAAGCCAGACTCAACTATCGTATAAGCTTCCATCTCATATTCATATTTGCTCGGTGCTAAGCATAATTCTCATTGTGTTTATATTAAGTCTTTACTTAAATTGATAATTAAGGAAGAATGTCTTGACACTCAATCCAACAAATCATGCTAAAGCTCTTAAATTCATTAGGGGAGACTAGTCTTCAACCCTTAGAATCACTATATGTGACAAACCTTTCACATTATATGACATTCATACCTAAGTGTGTACATGAGGATAATCATCCAATCAACACCACAATTAGATCATAATATAAGCACTTCACTCTCAAAGCAATCTAATTGTATACACGCAAGTCTCATACACATAGCAAATTCTCAAGTTTCACCCTTCAAGGACTATAGATCACATTCAACCAATCTATCTAGAATTGCTACATTAGATATAGATGGTAATATGATTCAAATAACTAAGCTAGTACAAGATAATCTCATAATATTCATCTCACCATAACTCACCCATATCACATAGTCACACATTGGGGACATGGGGGTTCATGCGATCTTGGAGGAAATTCAACATCAAAACTATATAAATTCCTTAATAAATACATAATTCAAGTAATCAATTCATTATATTCATGATTCTATAACATTCTACTAATACCATCAACACCCACACTTTAAGATCCAATTTGGGAAATTAGGGTAATTCATGGATTCAATAAATATTTTATCATAAAACCACCATAAAACAGAAACTAAACAATAATATAAGATAATTAAATCATAAAAACGTTTTTAGAAAGAATCCATGGCTTGGAGTGAAAACCCTAGGTTTTGGAGACTTTTCTACTTTGAAATTGAGAGTTTGAGGACATCATGGATTAAAAGCTAACCATGAATCAAAATTACCATTCCTTAGATGAAGATTCCTCACGAATTTGGGTAGAAAAGATGAGTTTTTGAGTCTTACACTTCAACTTCTTCTTCTTCTCCTTCTCCAATGGAGGTTTTTGAGAGAATATTTTTGGGGGTAAAGTTGGTTATGTTTTGGGGTCTTGGGAATTATGAAGTAAATAGGTTATTCAATGGTTTAAAAGTACTTATTTAATTCTATTAAAATGAATTAAAACGACTCTACATTAAATAATTAAATTAGAAATTACCTAAAACCAACTTACCTTGGCCGAACCTGGGCAAAAGTACAGGCAACACCTACGCCCATGACCCACGGACAGTGGGTGGGTCTACACCCCGTCCTGCAGGTTGTGGGTGGTGGTATGAAACCCCTAACTTGGGGTCTTGATCTACGAGCCTCCCCCATGAGGCATGGATGGACCTACGCCTCGTAAGTCCCATCCGTAGGTCACCTAATTTAGACAGCTTGGGTAGATTTGGGGCAGCTTTGGGGTTAGACTTTAGGGTCCTCCTCAAGGACCCCTTGGTTGGTCCTTGGGGAGTCGTACCTTGACGTTTAACCCATAAAACCCTCACCCTAATTTCAGAAAGCCATTTTACAACATTAACTCACACATCAAACTCTAAAACTCTCACGTAAGGCTCTAGTTTCACCTACTAGTTTTTTGGGTGTTACATACATACTCTAAGGAAAGGGTGCAGTCCGCATTAATACTACAAGACCCAGAATTGAGGTATGTTAAGGCTAACCGTTACTTCATTTGAGCATGAATTTTAGAATCCTAAATCGTGAAAGGTTGTTTAACTATTCTATTGTTAGAAAGACCTTCTGTGAAAGGCATTCGGATTGCAGCTGGCGTATTTTTGTGACTCAATTATGTTGATATTCCACTCGTTCGGTTATATAGGTTACTCGGCGTCTATGTGCCATTTTGTCGATTCCCTTGACTGTAGGTCCGTGTGTATATATTCTTCTTCTTCTTTAGGTGTTGTAACTTAGAAATATTAGGGATGAACATTAAGAGTTTGAAATCAGTCCTCCTTCCTCGCTACTTTCTTGTTTTTTGAAAAACTTAAAAATAATATGTCGATTTCCAAAACTCTTAAATGTAACTCATATGTTTAAACTACTAAAGGACATGTTTTTTTTGAAATACTTTCTTTTAGAAATTACTAAGGGAACATATATAAAAACTAGGTGAAACAGCTTAAGATCTTTATGAGCATTCTCAGGTTTAAATTACCTTTCTTAATTTTATTTAAGTGTTCTAGTTTAATCTACAAGCATATGGTTATATGAGATATTTACATGTGATACGAAAGTGATTACAAGATTATGAGGACAAGAGTACGAACGAGCCAAGATTGGCAACATGATTCAGGTAACATAAATGTGTTACGAATCCATGACATTACATGCTATGAATTCTACTTTCGAGCTATAATCGGAAGGTATGGGGCCTATTGCCTATATTTATACGTATGACACACAGATGGCCACAAATTGGTGAATATGATGTCAGTTCGCTACCGAAAGGCACCACCATTGCTAGAACTTGGTTGGGTATGACATGCATTTGCATCTATATATATGTATTCATGACATACGATTATGCAAGCATACCATGCATATTTAATTCATATAAGGTAGGATGTCAGCCATGGAGGCTATCTGAGTTTCTGTTTCAGGTGGTATCTTTATTATCCTTTTTATAGCAGCTATTTATGATTCTATTTTCGGCCTTACATACCAGTAAATTTTTATCCGTACTGACGTCCCATTGCCTGGGGACGCTGCATTTTTGTTTCATGCATGCAAGTCCACGTAGGGATTCTAATTGACCCCTCCACTAAGATTCATGATTCGATTGTGAGCTGGTAAGCTCCATCTCTTCCTAGAGCTTTCATAGGATGCTTACTTTTGATGTACATTTCGGGTATAGTCGGGGCCTTGTCTCGACTAGTGCTTATGATACTCAGAGAGGCTATTGTGGACACAATATTCTGGGTTTCTTTTTGCCGCTTCCAGTTTCCAGCCATATAGGCTTGGCATGTATAGATATGTTTGTATCTGTGTAAGTCCTCAATTGCGGCCTCGTCGGCCAGCTAGTATTTTTTTTTTTTGGCTTGTCTACCTTTGTCTATATGAGTTGTTATTCAAGTTATGACCCTAATGGTCCAGGCTTAATATTTTAGATGTTATGCTCCCCAACCTTCTAGTCCCACAGTTGAGTCAGTTGGTATGTTTCCGAGGCTCAATCGATTGCATAAGGTAGAGTGTCAGTCACGCCTCCCCTAGTTCAGGGCGTGACAAACTCGGTATCGCACCACACTTATAATCAAGAGGTTATAGGGCATTTTGGATTGGTTACATTTCTTTCAATTTATAGATCGTGCTATAGGACTGAGTTATAAGTACGTATGAAATCTAAATCGTGCTTTGTGTTTCTTTTATTCTCAAGAGGATTTATCGAGGCTTTACATTAGAGATTGTTGGTCATCAAAAATTTGTAAACGTGATAGAACTATTGATGCTCGACTCTGTTATTGATATGTGCATGGATTGGTGGAAGACTTGTTATGCCAATGTCGACGACCGAGAGAAGACTGTTAGATTTCAGTTCCCTGGCTTGATTACGAGACTTAGAGTTTGATATAGAAGATTGTGTTTTCTTGAAAGTATTGCCTAGGAAGTGTATCATATGATTCTTCACGAACAGGAAGTCAAGTTAAGTTGATTCCAAGGTATGTAAGGCCATATAAGATTATTTGGAGGATTGGCAGTGTGGCATACAAGCTTGATATGCCTTCAGAATTGAAAGTGGTCCATCTAGTGTTCCATGTATCTATGTTATAGAAGTGCATTGGAAATGCTCCATGGATTATGCCCGTTGAATATATTTGTTTCTCTAAGGACTCGTCATATGCTGAGGTGTTAGTGGCTATGTTGGATTGGCAGGTAAGAAAGATTTGGACTAAAGAAGTGGTTTCTGTGAAAGTGTTACGGCGAAATAATAACGTTGAGGAAATAACTTGAGAATTCGAAGAGGAAATAAGGAAGAAGTACCCCCAACTATTGACAACTTAAGCTGAGTTGCATTTTAATAATTGACAATTATTCGTGTACACAAACTTAATTTGATTTTAAATACCTCAAAATTGCAGTTTATATGACTTGTCGCGAGCTAGATATACGAAGCCTTGTAAGTGGATTTTAAAAACTGGATTTAAGATTTGCGGACGTATCAAATATAGCCTTGCAAATAGCACAGTAGCAGCAAAGAATACAACTAATAAATTTATTGAATCCATTCGCGGATGAATGTTCTTAAGGAGGGGAGAATGTGAGACCCCGTGGTTTTTTCGCATAATATGCGTATCATTGCATAAATGTATGAGGTTTATATGACTTGGTGTATAATTTCATGAGAATAAGGTTGCAAAGGGAGAGAAAGAAATCAAAAGAATTAGACCTAACGTTATGGGTCAAGGATGCCCTTAAACAAGTTCGAGTTAAAGAATGTCTCTTCTAACACCCCACCCGTTCGGGAAGTTCAAGTTATCCAGTACCTTTGGGGTAAGACAAAGATTGTATTATATGCTAATAAGGATGTTTTATAAGGTAATATAGTCGCCCAATGATCGTAACTTAAGTTTTGAAGTCAAGCAAGTTGGGAAATAAAAAGTCGGCAAAGTTAGAGTAAGTTTCTTTGATAAATTTTCTGAAATTTGGGTTAAATGTCTCGGAGCTTTTCTCCCATTCTATAAAGCTTTAGAAGAACCCCAATATACTAAATCAAAGATCTATGAGTCTACTTTTCAACGCACTGAACCATTTGTCCATATGACTTTAGAATTGAGAGATATTAAGATTTTAGTGAGACTGCACAAGCAGGCACGTGAAGGTGGGTCCCTCACCCCTTTGTCGGTTTAGCTTTATAAGATTTGGTTTCACTTCGTTTAAACTCAATTTTTTCGACCAAGTAATAAGAAAAACAGTCCTAAATCCTCTCTAGAGGTTCCCCTATCACCCAAGCAAATGTTTACAAGATTTCAATGTGGTTTAACTCTCAGATTGTTCATAGAGATTATGTTACTCTTTCGTCCTCGTTGGTTGTGATTTGCAGGATTCTTCATGGTGAAAGAGTCTTGTTCTTAGGTGGTGTTGCTGCTGTTTGGAGGTAATAATTCTCACTTTTCATTTTATTGAGTGAGTCCAAGTTATAGCTATGCTATATAAGCAAGAAGACAAATAGACGGCTGGAAAATTGTATTTTGATAGTTATGTGATGTTGGGCCTCTTTTGAAGTATTTTCTGATGTTGTTGCTGGAATTTTTGAAAATTATTTTTTTGTGTGTAATTGTTGTTGATATGAGTCTGGAAGAGAAGAAGTATAGATGGGTAATCAATTGTAAGATAAATAAGTGTAGCGTTGGTTCTATAATTGCATTGCGATTTTCAAATGACTTCTTTTTGGTTCAACATCTTGTGTTTGAGGAGACTCTTTGTAATTGAGGAGGCATGCTACAATACTATAAACTCCATCAATTTTAAGTTAAGGTTCTTTCCTTTTATTCTCTTATTGCTTATTAAGAGAAAGACATGATTCCCAATGTAATTATTGGACGAACTCACAAGATGGTGATTGGAAGCCGTAAGTTCGAGTTATTATTGTTATATTGGACAATTGTAGGACTATATTACATATATTTTTTTCTCGCTTTAATGGTTTGAAGACTCATGGTTTGGATTTGGTTGTGGTTATTTTGTGGTTGGAAATGAGGGGTGTGGCGATACGCGGAGTTCTTATTATTGTGCAAGCATACTCTATTTGGTTGTTGTTGACTATTGCGTAGGCCTCTACTTGTTAATAGCTTCTGCAAAAATGTATGTTACGTCATTAATTTGGGGTTTTACTTTGTAGAAGAAAAGGTAATTAAGCATACATTTAAAATGGGGCTGGTGAGCTAATTACTCTTCTAGTAAGCTCTAAATTGCTACTTTGACACTGACGTGTTAATATTCTGCATGTAACGGTTATGTGACATGATTTCATGTAGATTACATACTCCAAGGAAGGGGTGCAGTCCTCATTAATACTACAAGACCCAGAATTGAGGTATGTTAAAGCTAAGTGTTACTTTCTTTGAGCATGAATTTTAGAATCCTAAATCGTGAAAGGTTGTTTTTCTATTCTACTGTTAGAAAGACCTTCTGTGAAAAGCATTGGGATTGCAGCTGGCGTATTTTTCTGACTCAATTATGTTGATATTCCACTCGTTCGGTTATATAGGTTACTCGACATCTATGTGCCATTTTGTCGATTCCCTTGACTGTATATATTATTATTCATCTTTAGGTGTTGTAACTTAGAAATATTAGGGAGGAACATTAAGAGTTTGAAATCAGTCCTCCTTCTTCGCTACTTTCTTCTTTTTTGAAAAACTTAAAAATAATATGTCGATTTCCAAAACTTTTATATGTAACTCGTATGTTTAAACTACTAAAGAACATGTTTTTTTTTTTGGAATTACTTTCTTTTAGAAATTACTAAGGAAACATATATAAAAACTAGGTGAAGCACCTTAAGATCTTTATGAACATTCTCGGGTTTAAGTTACCTTTCTTAATTTTATTTAAGTGTTCTAGTTTAATCAACAAGCATATGGTTATACAAGATATTTACATGTGATACGAAAGTGATTATGAGATTATGAGGACAAGAGTACTAACGAGCCCAGATTGGCAACATGATTCCGGTAACACAAATGCATTACGAATCCATGACATTACATGCTATGCATTCTACTTTCGAGCTATAATCGAAAGGTATGAGGCCTATTGACTATATTTGTACATATGAGACACGGATGACCACTAGTTGGCGAATATGATGCCGGTTCGCTACCGGAAGGAACCACCATTGCTAGCACTTGGTTGGGTATGACATGCATTTGCATCTATATATATGTATTCACGACATACAATTATGCGAGCATACTATGCATATTTAATTCATATAAGGTAGGATGTCAGCAATGGAGGCTATCAGAGTTTCTGTTTCAGGTGGTATCTTTATTACCCTTTTTATAACAGCTATTTATGATTCTATTTTCCGCCTTACATACCAGTACATTTTTATCCGTACTGACGTCCCATTGCCTGGGGACACTGCATTTTTGTTTCATGCGTGCAGGTCCAGGTAGGGATTCTAATTTACCCCTCCACTAGGATTTGTATTTAGTTGTGAGTTGGTAAGCTCCACCTCTTCCTGGAGCTTTCATATGATGTTTACTTTTGATGTACATTTCGGGTATAATCGGGGCCTTGTCTCGACCAGTGCTTCTGACACTCATAGAGGCTATTATGGACATAATATTCTGGGTTTCTTTCTGCCGCTTCCAGTTACCAGCCACGTAGGCTTGGCATGTATAGATATGTTTGTATGTGTGTATGTCCTCAATTGTGGCCTCGAGGCCATTTAGTATTTTATTATTATTTTTTGTCTTGTCTACCTTTGTCTATATGAGTTGTTATTCAAGTTATGACCCTAATGGTCTAGGCTTAATATTTTAGATGTTATGCTACCCGACCTTCTAGGCCCATAGTTGAGTCAGTTGTTATGTTTCAGTGGCTAACTCGATTGCATAAGGTATCGAGTGCCAGTCACGCCTCCCTTAGTTTAGGGCGTGACAAGAAACGTGAGCCGAAATTGCAATGATAGGCTTAGTGAAACTTCTGCAATAGAAGTGTGTATCCAAGGAATGCATTGGGAGCTTCTCTATATCTTACATAGTATAAAGCCAAAATCCGTTGAAGATCTAGCTACTCGTGCTCATGATATGGAATTGAGCATGTCTTCTGTTGGAAAAGATACGATGTTTATCCATGATCCTCGCAAAGGAATGGACATGTAGGAACCCAAGAGATGGAACATATTTGTTCCTAGAATCACAACAAAGAATTCATGAATGTCAATGTGTCCCTTGTAAAGTTCACTACGAAGGAAAGCAAGAAGCAAAGTGTGAAAGCGACTTTCCAAGCACGTTCAAATCAAAAGTCGACCCTAAAGGAGATGTAAGAAAAGGAATACCCCTTATTGGATTCTGAAGTTTCTAATATTTTTGATGAGTTGTTTGAGTTAAAGCTCATTGAGTTTCCAGAGATAAAGTGACCTGATGAAGTTGGAAAAACTTTTGACCCAAATTATTGCAACTATCATAGACTTGTGAGTCACTCACTTGAAAAATGTTTTGTTTTCAAGGATAGAGTTATGCGGCTGGCTAACGAAAAAAAGATTGTCCTTGATGATGAGAAGACTAGTTCTAATAGGGGTGGACATAGTATGGAATATACCGAATTACCATACCATACCAAAAATTTTAATATCGTGGTTTAAGTATTATGGTATTTGGTATGGTAATGGTATACATTTTATTTTTGTTGGTATTCGGTACCATATTTGCTATTTAAAAATAACAATACCAAAATACCGAATACCACAGTGAAGTATATAGTTACATAAATAACACACACACACAAATATATATATATATATATATATATTATTATTATTATTATTATTAAAATACTAACAAATATGAAACCTAGTATTACTATAAACTAAAAGTTTAGAAGTTGAAACTTTAACTACTCTATTTTGATTAAAATGTATTTAAAATGCTATTGATTAACAAAAAGAGTTATTTGTACTTTGTTTTGAAAATATATTTCTACATGTGTAATGTGTTAGTATGATACAATTGAGGCCTTTTTTCAATTGTCGAAGTCATAATACTCAATTATACGAGTATATATTAGTCGAAGTTGAACATACTATGGTTACTGATTTACCATACCGTGGCATACAAAACTGAACTTCAAAATATCGAACCATACCAAATTCAATTGGTATGGTAATGATATAATGTTTTAAATACCGAATATCGAAATTATGGTTTAAAAACTTTCAAAAACCATACCATACCATGCCCTATCATGATGCAACTCCCTGATCCATGATAACACCTATTAAAACCCATCAGTAGGTAAGTCAACCCGTACTCAAAACAACAAGTAGTGAGTACAAGGGTAAAACTATACAGAAAAATAATACTAACAATAATAAAAGGAAGAAACAGAAAGCAAACCCAAAACTATATACAATAGATACCCTCCCAAAACCTGGAAGTCACGAGTACAAAGTTGTCGAACAAGAATAAATACAAGTCTAAAAAGTGGACCACAACAAGCCATCTCAACAGCAAAGGACAAGCTAACATATATACAGAAGGAGATAGGTTGATCCAGGGCACCAAGTGCTCACCCTCGTCTCCGATATCCCTAAGCTGAAAAAAATGACATGAATGATCACCGCTTGTAGTTGGCACTAGGACCTGAATCACAAGAAAATGCAAAGTGTAGCATAAGTACCCAAACAAGGTACATAGTAGGCATCATAGGCCGACCAAACAAGAAAGGTAAAGACAATAAAAAAGATAGAATCTATACACAAACAGAGGCCAAACAAATATGAAAAGAAGGCACACGAGGATACTAAAAGTAAATCTTAGTACAACTAAATTAAACCTAACTGAACCCCGTAAGGGTAGAAGGTACATTCGTGCGCAAGTTTAAATAAAATCCAAACGGATCCCCATAAGCACAAGATGTACACAAAATAACTAAGTCTACAAGAAAGAAGAGTAATCAAGATTCGAATTCAAGAACCAATCAAATCCTAGCCCAGATAGCAAGAGTGACAATCAACTCAACCAGTCAACTCCCTACCTAACTAGCAAGAATGACTATAAACCAAGGCCGCCCAATTATACAATCCACTCCAAGGGCGTCAACTACCCAACTAGAAAGACTGCCTTGGGGGCGTGTCAACTCCGTAGAAGATCTCATACATCCAGGCCGCCCAGTCCGCTAGCCCGCTCCCAAGGGTGTCATCCTCCCAACTAGCAAGAGTGTACGGGGAATATTGACTCCGAAGAGGATCTCAAGTAGGCTCAAAGCCACCATGGATCAATGTCTACTCCCGAAGATATCACAAAAGTCTACAAGCCAGAAGCACTCCAATCCAGAGAAAGCACACAATCTTTGGTAATACATCGGAGGCACAAAAAGAGGGAGAAAAGATTGAAAGGCTAATAAGCAATGCAAATACCTAAGCTAAGGCTCACATGATCAGGCCCAAGTCTGCTATTCCAGTCTACAAGGACCTAGTCCATCCTAAACGATGTTGGAGAAATACCATAGTCACAAGGTGCATGGGTCGAAGGCAACACTAGTCTATCCTAGACTAAGGCCAAAACATGCTCCAAAATCAAGTAATCAGACAAGTAAGTAACATAGCATGCTACAGCACATATACAACCCTTCACCAACATAGTACTACCCTCGAAACAATATTAATCAATCCTAGATCATGGTTTCCAAGAATAAAATAAAAAATAACTATGTAGCCGCCCCCAATTCATAATCATCATCATGAATTTAAACATTCGTGCTCAGTTTAGAAAGGAAGCAGTAGCCTACTTGTAGGCCAATAACGCACGCTCCAAATCACAAGGCCATAGCTTTTCCCTTCTAAACGAACTCTGAATGCTTCCACACTATCAAAAAGAGGATCACAATACGATATGCTTGTTTAGACACCAAAATCACCCAAAACAGGGAAAAATCAACTTTTAGAGACAAACGGTAATCGTGGGACATATGCTGGAAATTATGGAATTGACTCCATCAAAAGGTCTTAATCTATGCCATGAAGTTACATCATAAAATAGAACAAAGTTCGAGGCTCGAAATCCAGCTAACACAAAAACACAATAAAAACTCAAATTAAAAGAGAGAATGTAGAAGCTTTCACACAATTTTTACCTCTAATAGAGTGTGACAGACACCATCCATTCACTCCACTGCGTAGCCCTAACAATAACGAGCACGTGGAACTTTGAATCACCAAAATAGGATTTAAAATTAAGGAGAAATCGCAATTCTAAATTTATCACTCGGGCTGATCGTGACAAGTCTTAAATAGGCTAGACGGCTGACCGGCGTGAACGCGGGTTAACGGGCAAAATTGCATGCCAGATGCTGTCCATGAACGCGCCTGCCAGGGTGCCTGCCGTCTCCAAACGTGGGCATGCCTCAGCTGACAAAAAAAGTGCTAAGGCCCCAAACCTTCAACAAGGTGCCCGGGACTCATTCGAAACCCCGTAAGTGCAAACAAACTATGATACCCCATCAAAATCAACATTCTGGATTCAACAAAACCATCAAAAGTTACATTCGAGGTCCTGTCAATGAAAATTGGGTCCCACATCCAATTTTTTCTAAGCCAAATTCCACAAAGGGCCTCGGAATTAGCCTAGAAGCATCAAGACCTAAATGAATGGCTGTTCTAGGCTAAACTCGACATTCCAGAACTAACCGTGTTGACGAAATTCTCATCTAAGCTCGTTTACTCAAAATGTTGACTAAAGTCAAACTTAGGCTTCAACTTGAAAGTCAAAATACATAATTGAACATAATCATACTAAAAGCTTTGGGAGTCGTGCAAACTATGCTACTAGCCTAAAATGACCCTTCTGGAGCTGAGGGAATCATCAGAATTGATTATGAGGTCATCTTTCAGAACTTCTAATAAAAGATTACAGTTTAAGGTTCAAAAGCTCCTAAAACACTAAAACTCACATAAAAACCAAACGAACAACCAGGTGACCGAATTGTCTATCCTAGAAAGTCATAAATGACTTAGGGTCGCTATATGAAAGCTCTAAATGATAAACAAAAGGCCTAAACACAGAATGACTTGAAGATCATCACATCATCCCTTACTACTTTCGTCCATAAAATTAGGAGTGAAGAAGTACCTGAAGGTTCAAACAAGCCTGGAAATTGCTTCCGCATATCATGCTTGGTCTCCAGTGTAGCCTCCTCAACTGATCGATGTCTCTAACATACCTTAACTACATGACTGTCTCTTGAACACAATACCTGCTTATCTCTGGCAAGAATGGCAACGAGCTCCTCGACGAGGTCAAACGGTCATCTAACTCTACTACATCATAATGAAGCACATGTGATTCATCGAGAAGATATTGGCGCAACATCAAAACATGAAAGACTAGGTGGATAGATGAGAATATCGAAGGCAAAGCTAACTTATATGCAACCTCTCCAACTGTCTTGAGGATCACAAAATGCCCAATATATCTGGGGCTAAGCTTGCCCCACCTCCAAAATCTCATCATGCCCTTCATGGGCTACATACTGAGGAAAACTCTATCACCAACTAAAAACCTCAATGGTCGCCGCCTACGATTAGCATAACTCTTGTGCCTACTCTAAGCTGTCCGAAGTCTATCCTGAATCACCCTCACTTGTTCCAAAGCCTCCTAAATCAAGTATGTACCATGCGGTCTAGGATATGTATAATCAAACCAACCAACCGAAGAGTGA